CAGTGTTTAATATACATTGATGAAATCCCCCTGAGCTTTCTCTTCTCGAGTCTGAACAGTCCCACCTCTAGCAGCCTTTCTTCACAGGAGAGGAGTTTGAGTTCATTAACCTTTGTGGCTTGTTGGACTCTCTCCAGTATGTCCACGTCTCTCTCGTACTGGGGAGCTCAGAACTGGACACAGCACCCCATGACTGGCCTCACCAGTGCTGAACAGGAGGGAAGGATTTCCTCCCTCAGCCTGCTGTCAATATTTTGCCAATTACAGCCCAAGGATAGTTAGCCTTCCTTGTGGCAAGGGTACACTGTTGTGTGCTCAAGTTCAATTTAGTGTCCAGCAGGACCCCCACGTCTTTTTCTGCCGAGCTGCTTTCTAGCTGGGTGGCCCCAGCATGTACTAGTGCTGGAGGTTGTTCCTCCACAGCAACACGGGGAGGAACAATGCAGGATTTAGCACTGCTCCTTGCTGAACTTCATGAGGCTCCTGTCAGCCCATTTCTCCATCCTGTCAAGGACGGTACTCTGGATGGCAGCATGACCCTCTGGTGTATCCACCACTCCTCCCAGTTTTGAGCTGTCTGCAAACTTGCTAAGGATATACTCTGCCCCTTCATCCAGATCATTAACAAAGATGTTAAATAGGACAGGAGCAGTATGGACAGTATGGGTACTCTGCTAGTCAGTGGCCTCCACCTAAACATTGTGACACTGATCACCACCCTCTGGGCCCAGCTGTTCAGCCAGTTTTCCGTCCATCTCACTCTCTGCCATCCAACCCATACATCAACATGTGAGGATCTTACAGGAGGCAGTGTCCAAAGCCTTACTGAAGTCCAGGTAGACAATATCTGCTGCTCTCCTCTGATCTACCGGGTAGGTCATTTTATTGTAGAAGCTTAACAAGCGTGGGGGTCCAGGGTAAGTTCTCAGGTGGAATGCTGGCATGGTTAGACATCAGAAGAGGTGGGATGAGTCCTCAGTGCAACATGAGAAGAGCAACATAGAGATAACCCAGAATTATATCTGTTGTGCTGAGAATTCTTCACATCGGAGATGGATATAAGAAAAGAAAATGAGCCAACAATAATCTTACTCCTTCTGTTGGAATTCTCCTTCAGGACTAGTTTAGGAATTATTTTACCTTCTGTCTTTAATGCACTGAGACTTTGTGAACTTTTGTCTCCTGGCCTTTGTAAGCACCATTCCTTTTGTATTAATGACACATGAGCTCATCAGATTCCTGAAACGAAGAGGCGTTGCACTGGAATGCCACAGCATCCACCTCTGAGCCTGCAGATGTGCAGAGCAAATTTGACACAACACCAAATAACACGGTGCTAAAGTGGCAGTCTGCAAAGTTTGCAGATGCAATATGGATAAACAGAGTGGTGTTAGCTGACTGACCTTCCTGACTATAGATCGCTTTGTGTCATCACACTTAGTCCACTCAAAAGTTCTGTCATCGTGAGTAGAGGTTAAATATGCACACCAAACTAAAGAAAGGCATTTGTTAATGAAGCTGATAGAAGGTGTGGATTTGATCTGCTGCCAGGGTTTTGTAAAGATGATCTGATCTAATGCTAGGTTATTGCTCTGTAGATGCAGGTCATTATAGGACATGTTGATTATGTCCTACAGTGAGCCAACACAAGGATATGCACTTCTATTGTATAGACACATACCTCTGGCGCATGTTCCTGACACACTGCTAGTTTTGCTTAAAATTCATAGCGTATGAGGCAGGCAGAGTTGCTGTAATCATCTGGTCTGCTTTTATGCAAAATTTACATTCTTAGAAATGGCTTGCATTACTCCTAACCCAAAATACAATGTGTTTTTTAGGGGAAACATTATTCTTCATTTTAAAATGCTAGTGACGGTAAATCCACCAAAATTCAGAAATCATGAATCAATAAATTTACCTCTGCATGACCTCCTTACCCCCAAATAACAGGATTCCAAGTCACAATATTTTAGGCTATAAGAATGGGGTTTGCTTCCTTTAATCACTAGTTTCTAGCCTTTAGGATGCTTGCAAGACTCTTCATAACAGTGGAGGCTTTAACTGTCCTTTAAAACATGCTGTACCACAGTCTCTGGAGCCCACGATGCTTAGTTTCCTTTAAATTTGGGGTTCATGATTGACTTCCCTGTCATCTAATAAGATGCATTTTCAGATTAAAGCTTTATCCATGACTGGGCCCTTCAAATATTTTCCCCTTTTAGTTTTTGTGGTGTCTAATATTGGTTGAGGTGAGGTCCAACCTTTCCCACTGTGGAAGGACTAATAGGCTCTCTGGTTGCATCCACCTGCCAAGCATCATTCTTCCTTAGCACAGCTGCCAAGGGCAGAAATCCTGTACCAAAGTGCAGCTTCATTTGTTCAGCTTGTCTTTCAGGTAGCCAGAAGTTTATCTGCACAATTAAGCAGACAAAAGCTTTAAAGCTGCTGCTACAGAATGTGTAAATTTGTCTTAAAGATGAAAGTTAGTTTTCAGTAGTCTTGTGAAAGGAAAATGTCACTTTCAAATATGTTTTGAACAGTATTTACTGTATTCATCTCTCTTAAATTGGATTCTGCACCTGGAACAGAACAACCCTGACTGTTATGTACAGGCTCAGGGAAGAGAGGCTGAAGAGCAGCCCCATGGAAAGGGATCTGGGGGTTTCAGTTGACAGCAAGTTGAATATGAGCCAGCAGTGTGTCCTGGCAGCCAGAAGGACCAAACATGTCCTGGGGTAAATCAGCACAGTGTTGCTCGCTGGTTGAGGGAAGGGATTGTCCCACTCTGCTCTGCGCTGGTGCGGCCTCACCTCAAGTACTGTGTGCAGTTCTGGGCACCACAGTATAAAAAGGACATCAAACTATTAGAGAGTGTCCAAAGGAGAACTACAGAGATGGAGAAGGGCCTAGAGGGCAAGACATATGAGGAGCAGCAGAGGTCCCTTGGTTTGCTCAGCCCTGAGCAGAGCAGGCTGAGGGGAGGCCTCATGGCGGCCTGCAGCTCCCTCACGAGGGGAGCGGAGGGGCAGGCGCTGAGCTCTGCTCTCTGGGGACAGCGACAGGACCCGAGGGAACGGCATGGAGCTGGGACAGGGGAGGGTCAGGCTGGGGGTTAGGGAAAGGTGCTGCACCCAGAGGGTGGTCAGGCACTGGGACAGGCTCCCCAGGGCAGTGGTGAGAGCACCGAGCCTGCTGGAGTTCAAGATGCGTTTGGACAGTGCTTTCAGACATAGGATCTGATTTTGGGGTGTTTCTGTGCCGAGCCAGGAGCTGGACCCAACGATCTTTGTGGGTCCCTTCCAGTTCAGGAGATTCTGTGATTGTTAGCCCTTCTTTGAATATTTTTTGCACAGGACATGTCAAGAAGGGCACACATAAATCTAACTAATGTATTTAAGTGAGATAAGGTTTGTGAGATTTTTAATCTTTTTAATCTCATCAAATGCCTCTTCTATTAGGATTTAAATTTTCTCCTATTAGGGTTTAAAGTTATTCATACCATAGCTAATGTAGCCCACAAGTCATACCGTATAGAATGATGAACAAAAAACATCCTTGTCCTGTATGCATAGATTACAACTTTGTCAAGGTACATCATTCTCCATCTGAACCCAAGGAAGGACTGCCATGTATGGAACAGCTGCATTAGTTCAACCGGTTAAGAGAGGGCCCTGTAACAAAGGAACATTATTGGTCTTGCCTTATTCTGCTGCTATATGATAAGAAGTAAATTAAATTTCCTGTGAGTCACCTGCAATTGGAGGAAAAATTATTGCTTAGTTGCTGCTACAGCATATGGATTTGTCTCTGCATACGCAGATGTGGTAAGTATGCAGAATCCCACTAAGGAGAACAAGCCTGTTATTTTGCAACAGGCTGTTGTGAAAACAGGCTATTTCAGGGGCACCTGCAGCCTCCAGAAGGAAAAGGAGTTAGCTGGGTAGTGTGGAAAATCCTGCAAACGAATCAAAGAATACTGTTGTTAAAAGCCAGAAAGCAGGTGCACACAATGTCCTTTCTGAGTGGACGAATGGTGTCAATAGGCAGGCAAACCAGAGCAGCTCTCCTGCTCATTAATTCTGTCTCTCCTTCCACCATTTCCTGCTCATTAACTCCCTCCCATATTTCCCCTCTGCTAGAGTGCATTACTCAGACTCAATCATTGTCTCCGAAAGGGAGGGGTGTTGAAAGAAAAAGCCAGAATGAGACCTCACATTCCCCACCTCTCCCAAGCTATCTTTCTTGCTAGAAAGAAATCGAACAAGCATTTTACACTTCCTTGGAAAGATAAATGCAAGTCAGGTTTAAGGAAGGTATGTGCCCTCCAGCCAGGATTTACCTCTGTACTGCTTATTCTGTCAATAAAACTTTTTTTTTTTTTTTTTTTTTCTCTGAAGGGACTGTCACCCACCTCTGAATTTCACCTGTGTTCTAAATCCTTCAGGAAGAAATAAAACACGAGAGTCCATTTTCATTTTAACTGGCTTTTGTAAAGGGGTTGATTTCTTGTTGCTTTTCACAAGTTTTTTTTGCACTAAAGGCTTCTTGTTGCTTTTTACAAGTTTTGATATATTTTAAGTGGGACTGTGGCTTGACTTGCAGCAGTGGGAGCATGATGGACTGTACAGACACACACGCCTGAGTTGTTGTTCTGTGAGCACTTCAGCAAAGGCCTCCCTTTTGACTGGTATCTGTTGACTTACCACAGTCCATGGTTCTCAGTGCGCTCACTGCTGGATCAAAGGGGTGTAGCCTGTGGTCACAGGCCCTGTCCAGGATGGACAAGGGGACAGAGGACTTTCTCTTACACCACTCTTCACCTCAAAGAGTCAGGTATAGTAAGTCTCTGTAGGGATACCAAAGCTGGGTACAGGACAGGAAGGTTTTGTGGACTGAAGAATTTAACACCCTCAGTGTGGAAGAGCAGCCATGACCACAAAGCACCATGTCTCCTGGGGTGATTCGGAGCTGCCAAGAACTATAGTTTTCAGTATAGCTTGTTTTTGTTTTTGTTTTTGTTTTTGTTTTTGTTTTTGTTTTTGTTTTTGTTTGTTTGTTTGTTTGTTTTTATTGATTGTATTGACAGGCAACAAGAGTGTCAATGTCTTGTTAACTATTTCACATTCTTTATCCACACCAGTTAGCACTGGACTTGCTTTTCCACACACTACCATCACAAGGGCTGGGATTGTGGAACCACAGTTAGGCCCCCAGTTGGAGCGAGCCCTGGTGTGTCCCAGAGGGCTGCAAGGCCAGACTGACGGACTGCACAACCTAGGGCTGCACTGCACATGTTTGCTCAGGCTGACCCACCAAACTTTTTGTGTTTTCACATAGAAAGTCTGCCTATAGCCTTTGGATGGTTTGATACGGTTCTGCCATAAGGCACTGATTCCAATTAAATTGGCTGTTAATGGATGCCATGACATGTACGCGTGACTGTAAACACCTCGATCTAGATGCACTGACCTTTCATGTCAGCTTTGCATTAAAACTCTCGAAGTCATGTAGAATTACAGAAGTGATACAAGCAGAACGGAGAACACCAATGCTGTTCATACGTTCAAGCAATTTCATAGCAGAAACTGAGTTCCCAAATCAGTGAGACTTTTCTTGGCAATTTACTTTCAGCTTTACTTTATTCCAAATGTCTCTGCCTCCCCAGCCCCGCACAGCTGAGTAGCCGTGGGATGAGCTTTGCGGTGAGGAACACTCAGTGCTTGTAGTGTTTTCATTCAACATTCATTTTCAAAATGTAAAGGGATGAGGGGACAGAGCTGTGAAGAACAAAACCAAAAAAGCCGACATGCATTATTTAGGACAAATGGACTTGATTATAGATCCTGAAGGTGCTATAAAACTGATGGATTACAAGCTCAGCATTTCTGGGTTTTGAGCTGTCTGGCTTCCACTGTGCTCTCATTGTGTCAGCTCCCCCTCTTTTCATTGCTTTTTGCTGGAAACATTGCACTGGAGCACAAGTGAAGTGAAGCAGGTCCTAACTAGACCCAACAGCTGCCTTTTGTTGCTGCTGTGGAAACAGCTGTAAAGGGGTAATATAATCACTCTTCTGTTACCAGTCAGCTGCATACCATAAGCACCTTTTTTGGATGCAGGGGACCCAGAGGCAGCTCCTGTGGTGATATAAATGCTAATTGGGCCCACAACATGCTATTTTGTGCCCCATTTGACAGACTAAGCACTTGTTGTTCTGTCCCATGAGCATAAAGTTGACTGCATGGATATTCAGCACCTCTTTTATTATGAGATTCATGTTTCATTCATATGCAGGAGGGGTCTTCGCACGGGTTCCCATAGTGGAAGGAATGGTTTCTCAGCTTTTTGATCCGTTTCTCATATTTTGTTCAATAAAACTTTACTATGATGTCAGTCAGCTGAGGCTTGGAGTGCTTACAGTTAGGATGTGTTATTTTTACTTCTCCTTTTTTACAAATAAGTTTTGGATGGGTGATGGATTTTGTTTTTACCTAAAGAAGAAAAAATTTTTTTAAAATCCTCACCTAGACTTACTCCATTTCTGTATTTTCCTGTCTGAAGTTACTGATTTAAAACCAAATTTGATGGAAGAAATAAATTGCAGGAAAAAAAAAAAAAGCAGAGAAAGAAAAAAATGATATATTATCATCATGTCATAGATTGTAATGGGCAGAGCACTTGGTTAATGTACTTGGAGAACACAGAAGCAAACATGGGGGTACGTGAAAGCTGAGCATCACCATTAGGAAGGTGGTCTGGGGACAGCTTCCCTGCGCTCTAGTTATTGATTTTAATGTGTCCCTGGTCACAACAGGTGAACAAAGTTCTTTGAACTTTGGTTTCCCACCTGTAAAGTCAACTCATTACCTTTCTAAAGTACTTTAAAGTCACAGTTTGAAAGGGTTGTAACCAGTCAGACATACTGATTCAACAAATATCCTTTACAGCTGTTTTGATAGTACATTTTCTGTTGAGGCCAGATGAAGCATCACAGTTTATCACTGGCTAAGTATTGTGTCCGATGGAGTCTGTTTGCTTCAGAATATTCAAGTAAAGATCAGAGAAAGTGAGTGTTCATAGTGTTTATTGGTTTGGCCCAAGCAAGAATACAACATGCCAGCTGCATATATGGGTACTGCAGAAGATGAATCATGAAGAGGTCCATTATGGATCAGTCAGATATCTGAGGGTTGGTGTTAGATACCTGCTGGGGTAGGGGAATAATAATAATAAATGGAAATAACTAAGAAACTAAAACAACTGCTACCTGTATAAATTTCTATGCCGAACGTCTTGAGTTACACTTCATTTACTCTGCATTTTTGTATCCCAGGTTCAGGTTCAGTGGTCGTATTCTTGGCCTTGCGCTCATTCATCAGTACCTTCTTGATGCTTTCTTCACAAGGCCGTTCTACAAAGCACTGCTAAGGCTGTAAGTATAAGCATGCAACTGTGCAGCTTGGAAACAGTGATGCAGCAGTGGGTTTCACAGAGGCACAGACCCTCATGGAGTTGCTTTGAGTGCTCAGACCTTCAATTTCTTTCTGTGGTTGTTTGGGTTGTCTACTGATAGAAAACAAACATGTTTTAATATTTCTTGACTTTCTCTGAGAATTTGCCCTTCATAAATGCTGCCTATGTTGATAAAAGTGGATAATAAGTATGACATTTAGGAACATGCCTTTGAAGGTACAGACCCATAATTCCAGAGTTTACCACTGATTAAAAGTTATCAAAGCAATTAAAATAATGTGGAAGACTGTAAACCATCTCTGATAGAACAGACATCATTAATTCCTAAAATAAATAAATTAATTAATTTTAAAAAAAAAAGAAAGGATGGGAGTATATTAAGAAAATTCTCATGCCTTACTGGTAGGGTACTTTTTCATTCTAAACAGAAGTTGGACTAAATTAGGAATGTTAATGCAGCTATAAACAGTGAATATTTCTTGGTGGTCTTCTGTCTTTTACATTAGCAAGCAGAAGCTACCAGTAATATATTATCTTCAGCGTCAACTCTGTAAGGTTTATAAGGTTAACTTTAACAGATAATCTGTGCTGCTTTAATGGACTGCAGGAAGACAGCATACATAAAAATTGCAGCATTAAGAAAAGCCTCAAGTAGTAAGTCAAGAATGCAATTAAATGACAAAGAGCACACTAAAGCATAGCTGAAAAGGTTATCAGTTAGGATGAATCCAAATCAGGAAAGATACTTCTATTTAGAGTCCATATAGTTCTTTAACATGTATTTCATTTTGTGTTGGGTTTTATTTTTATTTTTTTTAACAAATGAGTATTGCTGGGGTCCAAACATTCATATTTATATTGTATGTGAGCCAGTCTGGAAATAGCCTAAAACCTAGAGTGCTCCTGCATCCTTAATGCCCCCTTAGGGAATTTGAAACCAGATTGCCTGTAACATCCGCCTGCTTTTTCAGCAAGCAAGGCTGGCTCCTTATTAGCAAAAATTTAGGCTGCCTGGTCTGCCTTATGTCAGTCTTGTGAGCTCACCTCAAGGATGATGGATACATGGAAGAGCAGCCAGGCACAACATGGTGAGGCCCATTGGGACTGAAGGTAAGCATGTGCTCTCAAGTGCAGGGCATCTTGAAGATTCACAAAAAAATGTGCCCCAGGGGTGCCCTCCAACAGCAAATAGTGTGGGCAGCCAGCAGAATTGGCCTTGAGCCCAGCCGTGCAAAGCAGACAGTTGCAGAACTGCTCTAAGAGGGTCTGTGTAACTGCCTTTGATGTTAACAAAACCAAACACCAGCTTTATGTTGGATCTCTGTCATAAATTTGCTCACATTCTTAGTAGTAAGTCATCTTACCAGTAGTCATGGGGTCGTATATTCAGCTACGTCTTTTATCTTGCCTCACAACCAGGCCGTGTGATTTAAGTGACTTGGAGTACCTGGATGAAGAGTTCCATCAGAGCTTGCAGTGGATGAAGGATAATAACATCACAGATATCCTGGATCTCACCTTCACAGTGAACGAGGAGGTGTTTGGACAGGTGAGCACAGCTATGCAAAACATCTGAAAAACAAATGTGAAGCTGACAAAGTTGAACATGATGAACATCTTCCTGTCAGAACAGATCATTTAGCCTTTCAATAACACTTTCTTCTCCTACCTTTTGTCTCTTTCAAGCCACCTGTTTCAATGTAGATGTTTATTCTTAGGGTCTATAATATAAAATACCAGCCACAGCCCCCCTACAGGCCTGTTGAGCCACACACTGATGAGCACGAGGAATTCTCTGAAGTGGAGTGCAGCTCTTCTCTCCAGGGTGTAGTTCACACAGATTGTGGCATTCAGTGAATTCAAGCAATGTAACATAAAGCTGATGTGACTAAGAGAAGGGGGGTCAGGGAGGACGAAAAGCATTTGGCAGCTGGTGTAAGATGTGGCAACTCTCACCACTATTTTTTCTGATATATTCCTGTTAGCTTCTGTGTCACTCACTTAACCTTGCACCTGCTTCACATATTGCTCAATACATACAGTTATTATGCTTTTTACCATTCGACTGTATATTACTCAGATGATTCTCTTTAACCTAGATGATCTGGATAACTATAACCTTAAATAGGAAACAACCCTGGCTTCAGTGCAGACTGGCAACCAGAACACATATCTTCTGTGTGTTTCTTTGGCTTGCACTGAAGCCTTTGTGCTTTCTGCTGTTGTAACCCATACTGGCCTATAACTGTCTCTGAAAAGTCTTGAAGGGACCCAAAAGAACATTCAGGGGAAAATTAAGGATCTCCAAGGAGATACTGAAAGCTAGAAAGACTGAAGAACCAAGCTCATCAGGTACTGCAGAATCTAAAGGGAAGTTAATTCCTGTGTAAGGAGCAGAGATGCACAGTGTAAAAGGGATCAGAGAGATCGGGTGGAATATAGAGAGAGTGGCTTTTAGCTGTCAAAAGTAAAGTTGACAGGAGGAGTTTCTCCAGAGTGAAAGCATGCAGAGCTAAGGGAGAGTTAGACTTGTTTTGGAGGCAAGAAATCCTGGCCCTGAGAGTAAAAGGGCTGCTCAGCTATAAGCTTGAAAGTAACAGACAGCAAGCAAGACTTCAGGGGATATTTTCAAAGCTGAATTTAGTCTGCTTGTTGTACACGGGCATGAAGGATCAGCAGAGTCAAGGACAAATGAAATAAAAAGGATGGGGCAGAAGAACTGAGGTAAGAACCCCTGTAGCAAAGATAACATCATTTTTCACAGATTTAAGTACAATTTTTTTCCTGGCTCTGAGCTGAGAGTTTGCATGACATTCAATTGACAGTACAGTGGTTTCCCTGAAAGGTATGGCTATGTAAGACTAATACATGAAGACAGACAGAAACATGCAGACATATTCACAAAGACAGATGAGACAAGTTTGTATTTGCATTGGAAGAGTACAAAGAAGAATAAGAATCTCAGCCTGAATTGCCCTTATGCATCTGAAGGTAGCATTTGGCGCACTAATTACTTGCTATGCTCTCCCCAAAGAAAAGAGCTAGACAATTACATAGGAGTCTGTTGTGGAAGATAAGGGATGGCTCCAAAAAGAACAGAAATAAAATTATAATCTCTTGTAGATACTGTGATACTACAGCAAAAGAGCACAAAAAGATTTTGATGCCAGTTCACATACCGTCTAGTACTTTATTTCATATTCACTAAACACTAACCTTGCTATAACTAGTGATGGGAAAAAATGATTCTCACTGTGAATTACTATGGTCAGAATTCAAGTGTCAAAGTGAAGGTGAGATTTCCCCCTTAAGAAATTTGCTAAGTGCTGACAGCGAAATACCCAAGAAATTGCAATCACATTTTTTGCTCACAGATGGATCCCAGTTGGAAATTCTTGCATGCCAAGAGTATCTGACCACTTTAAATGCCATCTGAACATTGCTTTGCTGGATACATATGCACAGTGGGAGCTCTGCTAATATTTGGGAAACTAGACTTCAAGGGTTGGGTAAGGGAAACAAGAACTAGTGGTTCTTGGAGAAGCTCTGTGGCAGATGGGTCACAGCATTTTCATCCTTTTTCCACAATGACTTTAATATGGACAAGTCAGTACTTCATTCATTTTTCTTTCTTGTGCATCTCTCACCTGTGTATTTAGCTTTTAAACCTTTTGGCTTAAATCTTCTTTCTTGGTACTTTTTTTTTTTAATTAAAGCATACTAATGAGCAGCTCCATCTTCCTTCCATACTGGTGCCCAGAGCACTACTCTAATACCAAAGATGTGGTGTCAAACCAAGCGTCCTGCATTTATATTTGTGAGGACTGGATGCCAATTTGAGAGTTTTGGTTATAAAGCTCAGAGGGGTGGCAGTTGCTGGTACCTGCTCTTGCTTTTACCCAGTAGAAAGTGTTCTTCCAGGCCTAACTGTCTCCAAGCCCTCTGTGTGGATGCCTTGTCGATTGCTCTGGTCAGGTAAAAGGAGTGGGCTAGATTAGCTGAAATGTCTGGGTGCTGCTCTGAATTCTAGCTCACAGCTGTGACTAATACCTCTGTGAACAAAAAAGGAAAAATCAGGACCCTCTGTCATTGATTGGCTGCCTCCAAGTCTAGATAAATAATTGTATTGAAATTGTATGGATAATGACAAGCTGAAGAAATCACCAGTATATGTGGAAACCTTGCAAGGAGATGTAGAACAACTGGATTTATGGAAATGATTACAGTTAGACAATGTTCAGTCATTGGTTTTAACTGATGTATCTTAATGCTGCACAGTCTTGAAAATACAGCCTAGCAGTCGGGCAAGAATCTTGCCCTCTGACTGATGCAGCTCTGCTTGTGTAATGGTGTTGTAGTGATTTACATTTGGGAATTTGACCTGAACCAGCTAAGAATTCCTAACTCATTACATCCAACCTTACTTGTTCTTGCAGTTTCCCAACAAAGCTACAGATTAGATGACTCACTGAGTGTTTCCATAATTCATATTTTTTCTACGTGTCCCTCAAGCAAAGTGACATAAATACTAAACGTCCTCTGTGTGCTGCCTGTTGGGCTAATAAGTAGATAATAATATAAATAATACAAATAATGAATATGTATTCATGCAGCTCATTTGCTGTCTGTACTAGACATCATTGCTATAGGAGCAGAAAACTGAAGAGGAGAGAAAAACATTCTTCCTTTTAAATCTACTAGATTGAATATGAAAATAATTACAAGATAAACATTATTTTCTGTCACATGCAAGAAGAGTTGTGTGCTTGCTGGGTAGAATCTAGATTGATTCCTTAAATCACTTCTCAATCTCAAGCCTTAGTAACCCAAGCCAACTAAATTAACCATTGAAATGCAATGAAATTCTGTGGATCTGGCTAAAAAAATATTTACATTACATACTGATTGACATTTTCTTACCCCTGGATAGCTTCTAACTCTCAGGTTTGGGTGGCTGATACAAAACTGTGAATGCCACAATGACTGTATTTGTCCTCTGTGCAGGTTACTGTCCAATGTTGGGCAGTGTATTGGAAGTATTAATTTGGTGAGAATTTTCTCGGCTTTTGGCATTTCTGAGTAAACACCTTTACTACACACACCTTAATTAGGTCCCAGGTTAACGCTTGTTGCTGAAGAGAGTCTGTCATAAGCTGATACCCCTTCCAGTTGGCAAAACAGTGCCCGTTCCAATACTGGGATTGCCCCCAATCCCATTGTTGCTGTACTAGCGCTTGGGTAACCTGCAGCAAGTAGAAAACTGGCATGGTTATCTCTCTGTTAGAGTACCCTCTCTGCAACTCTTGGGAGCAAGCAGGAGAGGAGGAGATGAAAAAAAATGGCCAGACTGGCACATTGCTCATGGTGCTCTCAGAATCAATCTTTGCTGGTACAGTATAGAGTAACCTACATATTATTCCAGCTTCAGCTGGGAATAAGGCTAGGGCTAGGGCTGAGGGAGGAACAGAGATCAGAAAGCTGTATGTAGCCTCTTGAAATTTCCCACTTTGCTAAATATATGTGTAGTAAATCAAAGGTTTTGAATCTCTGTAGGTTCTGTAGGAAAGGTTGTGAGGTGGAGGTGGGTTCCCCTCATTATCCCTTTTCTTTCTACTACACATGGGCAAGAGACCAGGAGGACAGAACTAGAAATATGTCTTTTTTATTTTTCACTTACGTTTTCAAAGTACCCTTAAATTTGAAACACGACGTGATCCATACATTGTTACCCTACTATTCATCTTTGTTCCCTAGGTGACAGAGAGAGAGTTGAAATCTGGAGGGGCAAATACAGCAGTGACAGAAAAGAACAAAAAGGAGTACATCGAGAGAATGGTTAAGTGGCGAGTGGAACGAGGAGTGGTTCAGCAAACAGAGGCTCTGGTCCGTGGCTTCTACGAAGTAAGTAACAATGACCAGAGTGGTGTGCAAACTTGGTTGTACCCAGCTGTGAAAAAAAAAAAAAGACAAATGAGAAGAATTGTACACTTGAGTGAGGAGCTGGTGGGACATACTACATCTTTATGGACTCATTGCAGTAAATTTATTCCTGGGATTCAGTCAGCCACATATATTGCTAGTATTGTCAGATGGTGCTCCATTTTGTCCCTGGATTTTGCTAACTTATCTCTGTGGAAAATCTGGAGCTGAGAGCATCCTTGTGGCAGAGCTGCTACAAGGACTGTCCAGGACTGGATGAAAACCCACAGCTTTGCTAACCCATCCATGTAGTCACCTATTGGTGCCCCTTATTAATCACATTGAACCATCCATCTTGCCCTGGCAGCTGTATTCTGTGGGTAGAATCTGAGGGATATCTCACAGAGAGAAATAAACGGAAAGACTGGGAACCCTGTAAAACAGAGCAGCAGGTACTGATCACACAGAACAGTACTGATAAGTGGTTGCTCTGAGCAGTCATGGGAGTGGTGGCCAGTGAGGATGGTTTTGTAGCTGCACAGACTTGTCAGCCCTGTCCTGTGGAAAGGGATTGGCAAAGTGACTGCATACAGTCCAGATGTTTCACTAGCTTTTTCACCCTGTGAATACTTCAGACTGTCATAGCTTTTGGTTTAACCTAATGAAGAAGATGACCCTCTGCTGCATCTTCAGTGAATGAAGACCTAAGGCCTCTGTACACAACTGTAAACAAATGTGAATGCCAAACAAATTGTCCAGATTACTGATCTAGTAATTTGACCATCAAAATCACTCATCGGAATCAGTGGTAACAATGAAGAATTTTCTGCACAAACTATGTACTGCTACTTGCATTCTCTCATTCAGGTCAAATTGTATGTATTGTCATTGTTTGCAGATGGAAACATCAGCAGACTCACTGAAGGAGAGCAGAGATTTGTCAGCAAAGGAGTGGAAGTTAGCTGTCAGCATACAGACTTCAACGGCCAGCAGTGAAAGAGCTGGCCGTCAGAGCCCTGGGTTTACGAGGCATTGCATCTGCTTTATTTCCAGTCTGAAACTGTGCTTACAAGTGTTTTTTGTTCCAGGTTGTAGACTCCAGGCTTGTCTCTGTTTTTGATGCCAGAGAACTGGAGCTGGTTATAGCTGGCACTGCAGAAATAGATCTCAATGACTGGCGTAACAACACAGAATATCGTGGAGGTAAACTGCCTACTGATGCTTACTAATATTTTAAATGCATTCAGTCTAAAACATGGAAGACTTGGTCCATTTTTTTCCTTCTGCCCCTTCTGAAGGAAATGGCCTGTTCTGTTTAGAACTTTTTTTGTGAAGAATAACTCATGAGAAAAAATAAGTAAGACCTCAGATTTGAATTGATAGATGTAATAATACTGAAATTGCTTCTGCATCTTCTGTCCAGATTTTACCCACTCTTGCTTCGTACTGATTTAACAGGAGTTTTGACTGTTAGGGACTGAAAAGGATTTGCAGCGTTAGGTCTAAGTTATTCGCTCAGATGACTGTGAATGAACTCCTGGCCTCCTTGTGAAATAGTATCACAAGTCCTCTTGGCTTTAGCAGGGAAGGAGGCTCAAGAATTGAATTCCACTGTTCCCAATTACACTTCAACAAAATACAGGTCTTGCTTAACCATTCCCTCAACCTATCTATGTCAAGTTGGATTTTTTCCCTTATCCTCTAATACTTGGCCTGCTTTTGCTGAGCATGATTTATTCAGGCTTTCTTGGATGATGGATAAATGTGAAATCCATGAGTTCTGCATTTCAGAAGAAAAGCCTCTGAGGTTTATGTATCCTTCCCTGAAATACAAGGCTTAGGTCTTTGCTGCTGACTGCCCAACCTTTGTGTTACCTTGAAATACTCAGTTAACTACAAGTACAGCTGGTTCTCCAAGTTATTCTCCTCCTCCTTTTTTTCAGTTTAGCTATTGAAAGAGATTTAGCCTGGGTTTATGCTGGCTTTCCCTAGCACAAACCAAAGCACAGAGCCCCTCAGGTGGGAGGTTTGCCAGGGAAGAGCTTGCAGCCCCAAGCTCCCCTCCATATGTTGGACACTATTGCAATCCAGAAGAGAATGCATTTGGGAACCAGAAATTGTCAAGTCGTCAGGACTCAAACTGTGTGGCATAGCACAAGTGGCCTTTTATATCTCGTGCAGGCAGCCCCAGTTCTTGCCAAGAGATTTGTCAGAAGCTGATGTACATATTTCAATTTTTGGATTTCAAATGAGTTAGTCATATTATAGTATCCAGAGCCAGGACAAGGTGGGGGGCTATGACCTATCACTCATCAAGAAAAAAATATATTGTTAGGTCAGAATCTTTTCATAGGAGATCTGCTGCCCCACGCTTGTGAGAACATATTTCATTATTATAGTAAAGGGTGTGAATTTAATTTCTCTCTCTTGCTTCTTGGTTTAGGTTACCATGATGGCCACATAGTAATACGGTGGTTCTGGGCAGCAGTAGAGAGATTTAACAATGAGCAGAGACTCCGGTTGTTGCAGTTTGTCACTGGAACATCAAGTGTGCCATACGAGGGCTTTGCAGCTCTCCGAGGGAGCAACGGACTTCGTCGCTTCTGTATAGAGAAATGGGGAAAAATAACCTCCCTTCCAAGGTATGTCCTGACTAGGATACAAGAACAGAAGTGCTGTGAGAAAGATGAGTCTGTACTTAGTTATATCTCTCTGCCAGTCAAAGACAGTGAATATGGTAAGGACATCTTAAAACAGCAAAGAAACAATTACCATGTTTTTCTGTAATTACATTCAGAGAAAAGTGTTTCTCTTTTGCTGTTTTGTTTTGTTTTGTTTGTTTGTTTGTTTTTGATTTCAAGTCTCAATTTAAACTACTTTGAACCCTGGGAAAAGGTTAAGGTAAAGCTTTCCATATATCTAAACCTAGTTATTTTATTTTGATTCTGTATTAGATCCAGAACACCAGGAGCTTGTCAGCTGATTCTGTTCCCTTTACTTGCAAAATACTAGTAAAAATACTCAGGAAGTTACAGAGCCATGAAAGCCAGAATGCACCTCTGATTTTTGGCCAGAGACCTAAGTGTAATCCCTTCATTTGCTCTGATGGTTCCACTTTTTCATCACGAGGAAACTTAGTGGAGGGGCTTCAGACTGTGTGGTGGTAATACTCAATATGTTACATCGAGTTCAGCCAGCCTGAACTATAAGCAAATGAGCCATAATGTCATACAGGGCCAACAGACTTCACAGTGCTTCCCAAAGGAGAGGTCATCTTCCTTTTTAAGTACAAAGGAACCAGGGCACCAAGGGCTGGTCTTACTTACTAAGGCTACCCAAGAGCTGTGGCACAGCCAGCAATAGCATTGAGCTTTGAGTTCTGCTCCAGCACTTTATCCATGACCAGCACCCATCCTTCCCCCCTTGAAGTAAGTCACCTTTTCTCGAATGTCCTTACAGTTTCCTAAGACTCTACCCCATTGAGGTTACAGAACATTTTTCATCTCTGAGATTAATTCGCTGAGTGAGCTTTTTACCAAACATTTGCCCTCCAAAGGATGCTTTCTTCCAGCACTCCAGGAGTGTCTATTCACATTTAAATTATTCTCCTGGAAATGAACTGGAAGCCAAAGGAGACCCTGAAACCCCCCAGATATGTTTTGCAGCTTACCAGCCTGCATTCGCAATTTCCTCTGGTGACTCTGCTGGCCAGGGTTGGCTAGAATCAGGGCAAGTCTTTTTCAGAAAGGCTCCAGACCATCCAGGTCAGAAGGCATTTTCAGAGAGTCCCTTGGGCTCTTATCATTTGACTTCAGCTGCAGTCCAAAGGAGGCTAACTACTTTCATGGCGTGCAACAAGAATCTGTTCTCACAGACTTGCAGATATATTCAGGCAGTCCATTAACTGTGGGTCTGACCCAGTTTTCTAGTCGCTTGCCATCCATATTATTTACACAGAATCAGACTGTGAGGATGGACTTGAGAAGACCTCCAGAGTTCTCTGGAGAGGAGAAGTCCAAATCTGCTCACTGTCTTAAGTCCAAACCTTCCCATGTTTATGCAGTGGGGACGTGCAGGAGCTGGACCAAGGGCACTGCATCAGCAGACATTCTGAGATAACATCTTAGATGGACTCCCTCTAAAGTCAGGAAAAGGGAAGGAAGTGTGTTTAAGGCGTGATTCATCTCACCTTAACACAGGCTTTTAAGATAGCTTGACTGAATCACAGCTGGTACATTCTGATTTATTTTCATTGACCATGAAGACTCTACAGAGACCATAGAGAGACCTAGAGCCTAGAGGAAAGCTAGGTGTAGGCACTGAGATTTAAAAACAGATGGAAACGTGTAAGGTCAGTGAGATGACTCATGCCCTCTGAGCTTCAGCCAGCAATGTGGAAAGAAAGCCTGAGAGCTGCAGTTTGCTGTGCATAGGCCCGATCTTCCTTTTGCAGCATAGATATATAGGCTGGTTCTGTGTAACAGTTTTGGAGCTGACCAGAAGCATTCCTGCCTGTAGGCAGGCAGCAACTGGAGCTCACAGACTGCACAGCGTTTCAGCATAAGCTCTCTGCACTCCCCACAACGGGAAGGGGCAAGCGGGGAGGGTGGACCTTGGCGCGTGCACAGAAAATGCCCTGGGCTGACCCAACAAGTTCTGAAAAGGTAATTGGCGTCTTTCTGCTCTGCTTAACTTTTTTTGTGAACCTAGGCATTACTTATGACCTAGATTCAGTTAGCCTCGAGATATTCACATTAACAGCTTTGTGTTTGTCTGCTGATCGCTGAACTTGTTGCTC